ACTTCAGGAAACTTGTATAAATGACTGTATATGGTGTAGGAGCTGGGATTCAATCCTGGATTCTTAAGCTAGAAAGGCAGGTGTATTATCTTCTCATGTGGGCTCTCTCTCTCGGGATTAGAATCAACTATTTGAATGGTTTTAGAAGGGGTATCTGGGTTTTGCTAACTTCTATGCTACAACTGAATGTGTTATCAGTTGATGGACTTACAAGGCTTCTTTATCTTTGTGTGGTTCATAACCTATAATTTTACCATAATTCAGCTTTACTGTATGGTCTACTGCAGATAGATCTGTATTACAATTTTGATTTGTTTTTCTAGTGTATTGGAGTTCACATCCATGAGGAATGCTGAAAATTATACACTTGTTCTCCACTAAGCTCTTTGGTGGTTTGGTGTAGACTAACTATGATCACATTGTGTTATAGCCTATAAAGACTGTTATAACTTTAAACTGTTTTCATAGAGGCCATTGACATACAGGAATATGGCTGTGTGTCTGTACTTTTCTTTGTGATCATTTTCCTTATTTTGTTTATCTATCAAGTTGTATCCATGGTCAATGAGAATCGAAATGGTGTTTTCTTATATTCTTCTTAGCATCTTCTGTGTTTCAAATTTTGCTCATTATGAAAACTAGGCAGTCTATGATTTCCATTTTTACATTTCTAAGGTTCTTTGGTGTATAATTGAGGTACTTACCCCTACCATGGGTTTCCTTTTAACTTCTGTGGTGTATGAGTTTGTGTCTTGGTGACTATGACATCTAGTAATGGGAGCTGGTTATCTTTTTTTCTGTAACTATTGCTGGATATTGTCTGTTCAGGAATTCTGGACTGTTGTCTTTAGTGTTTGGCCATATTATGAGAGTGTCATCAACATATCTGAGTTAAATCATGGGTCTTATAAAAGCTGTTTTAATGACATCTTCAAAGTATAACTGTAAAAGTTACTGAGTACTACGTATTAAGTATACCCTGAATATATACACATTTTGTTCTCAATGAATAAAAAACATTTATGATTGCTACATTTACACAAGTATTTGCTATTATTATTGCTTTTGACATAACAATATTACAACACTCATTAATTTCTGTATCAACTTTTATTTTTGTGAATTTATATGAATGATTTGTCTTAACTATACTGTACAGAAGTTACATACATTATAGTAAAATGAGTTAGGAACCCCACAATGTCATTATGATCCATGTATCCTACCCAGTCATGCAATATCTGATGGCTATGCATCTTAACAATAGCCTTACAGTGTAGTTTCACTGCAGAAAGCTCTGTTGTAAAAATGATGGGGCCAAAGTACACCACTCCCTGCTTTCTTTTCGTAATCCAGTTAGTGTATGAGGATGGTAGTTTCTCAGCACCTGTTTCAACAATTCGACTACACAGAAATCCATAGATGCTGCACCCAGTAACTTGACTAGTATGTCTTCTTATGGAATAGCATGAATACCTGTTTTACTTTCCAGCTGCTAGAGGTATGTAATACTTAAGTGCTTGTGCACATGGGACTTTTTTTCACTTTTTCAAATCCTTCTTCATTATGTTGCATATTGTTTCGTGGGGCACATGGATGGCTTTTTCTATTGACCTTTATGCTTTTGCATTGTGGGCCGGGATGGCCAGGTGGTTAGGGTGTTCGACTCGCAATCTGTGGGTCGTGGATTCGAATCTCCGTCACACCAAACATGCTCGCCCTTTCAGTCGTGGGGGCATTATAATGTGACGGTCAATCCCACTATTCATTGGTAAAAGAGTTGACGGTGGGTGGTGATGACTAGCTGTCTTCCCTCTAGTCTTACACTGCTAAATTAGGGACAGCTAGCATAGATAGCCCTCGTGTAGCTTTGCATGAAATTCATAACAAACAAGCTTTTGCATTATCACCTGTTAAAAGACACTAAACTTTACTTACCATGTTTTGGATATGACTTGTTGAGGGTTCCTCTTTCTGGATAGTCCTGGAGCCCCAATTTGATCCATATTCCTTTTTTTTACAATGTCATTAGGTGCAAGGGATATCCACATCTTGGAAATCCCCTATCTAAACACATTTTCATGAATATTTAGTGTTAATATGAGTTGTTAGAAACCTTTTCCAAAAGCAATCAATTTTTGATGGCATTACACTACTTACAAAATGACAAACAATGTCAATATGTAGGTATGAAAAATTATGTTCCACTAAGACTTTATATTGGCTGTGATTGTCGTGTGACTTGCTGATTTACACAAAATTGTTTTAATATAATGTACTCAATATTCTGTATTACATATTACTAACTTGAATACATTTTTTAAATACTACTACAGAGGCTATATGTCATAGTAAAAATGTGAATTATTAGCTAGAGAATCATGAGTCCCTCGGACAACTATGTTTTGTGTATAAAAATTCTTCTTTACTGTTAATGTTCAACATACAAGCATTATTTTAAGAACTAGTCTATCTAGTTGAACTGGCTAAACAAAGTAAATCACAATGAGAATGAACTGTACTTTGGCAATTACTGGATTTTTTTATCTGGATAAAAATACCATCTCAAATTTCCAAAACCAAATTTCTTGCCATAGGTCTGAAAAATATTTTTTGTTTTTCAAAAATGAAAACAATTATCATGAATATTAATTACTATACAAATTTCATATCAGGATCTTTTATTCCAAGCATTTAGATTTTTATGAATTAAAAGATAACCTACCTTATATTTTTTAAGTTTTCTTAAATTGTTTAATGTCAGTTGTTTTTACAGTTCAAGTTAGTGACCAAGTAGTGTTACAACTTTCTGTCAGTAGTATATGTAGTGTTCCTTACTTATATTACAAGAGAATACTGAATAAGCTCTGGATGTTATTAATTGTAAAACTCATTAAATTCATCAACTATTCTATCCCTTAAGGTTAAAGTGTAATTTTCAGAAATAGTTTTTAGGAGCAAGAAATATATATACATGTAGTAACATCTTGTATATGCTGAATTCATTTGGAATCCACGTCATTTGAACTATATTGATAAAGTGAAATATATTCAAAAGAAAATTTTAAGATATCTTTTTTTTTTTTAATGCATAATATAAGTATTCAAGTGTATTAAGGTCTTCATCATATTTAATCAAAGGACTTTATAGTTTTAAGTGTATTAAGTTCTTCATCATACCCAAGTAATTTTTCTTATTTCAGTATCTTTTAATTTCCTTTTCTTAAGATGGTTTTTTCTCGTATTGGCATAGGTCATTAAAGGCCAATAATCTCATGGGTTTGTTGTGGGATGCATCTGGATTATGTTTGAGTAATGTTCAATTCTTCACTATCTTTGTTATAGTTGGGCAGTCCAAAGCACACTTGTGTTTTTAATGGCTGCTCCTGTCTCGCATCATTTTCCCTAATTCTAGCTACTTGGGCTGTATAGCTTTCAGATCTGTTGTTCTTTCTTACTGCTAGACTTGTCTCCTATTTCAGTGTTGGGATTATAGCTACATGTTTGCTCAGATGCCGTTTATTGTATCTGTGGTATTAAAACCTAATTAAATATATCTGAATAAAAACACTTTTTTTCATTTCCTCTCATTCACAGTTGTCCACTGAGAAATCAGTTTAGGGAAGGAAATCTTATAAAATCATTCAGTAATGAGAGTGTCTCAACTTTTCAAATATGATGATGGAGGAGAGGTTTAATACAACAGTTCTTGAAAGTTTAGTATCTGTTAAGAAATACCACTACATCTCAGCTGTAAGAAATGTCAGTTTTTAAAACCTGCTTCTGTGCCATTTTTGTCTATAAGTTTTATTACTTTTTATGTATAGTATGAGGTAATTACACACACTAGCAGTAATATACCATCAATCATGAACTTTGTAGAAATAGAAGAATGTTTTAAAACTACTTTCATCTATGTTAATGTAAGGCTAGACTGTATTCATTCAAATCTATTAACAGGCTTTAATTGAATTAGTTACAATATATATAGTTTGTGCATAATGCGAGAACTTTTCATATGTTGCTATATTTGTTCTAAAAGTAACTTCTGCTGATCAGATTTCTGTGTTTGGGAGACCAATGAACACAGTGTTGCAAAACTGTGTAGGTCAGTTTGACCAAGCCTAAAACATTGTTATATGGTCATAAGGTGTTCTTATGATTATATCATGGTCACACTACATGGCATCTATGGGTATAAAAGTCATCATCCAAAATCATATTCAAGCAGTTTTGAACAGGTCAACACTGTACTTTATCTTCTGTATTATGTTCTACACACTTAGTTTCACAACAGTGTGCTCGTTGATTTTATGAACACAGCTACCTATCTTTTGAAACACCCATTAGATGAATGTGTGTACCACTGTTTAAAAGTTATTAGTGTTATCTTTCAAATGCCCATGAATCTTGATACAGTATTGACCATCTAATCCCAACCTATGCATGTTTTTACTTATTTTTTTTATTCCTGGTAAGAAAATTGTTTTGATACTAAAATAAAGAAACTTTAAGCATGCCATATAAAACTAATAGATTTTAATATGATGTCTCTAACAAGTACTATTTTTATGAAAAACTTTTTGTGAGGGCAGATAAGAAATATTTAGTCAGAATTTGGCATTTTGTATGAGTATTACATATATGATGCAAATACTAAAATGTATTAAAACTATATATCATATAATTGAGACCCTAGAGATGAAGAAGAGTATTTATTCACCAGTTTTCATTCTTATTGGTCTAATTTGAATGTTTTTTTTATATTTGAGAACATACAGATGGGTACTTTTTATTCACTGGTTTTAATGCTTATTGATCTAGTTTTTAATCCATGAACCTAATGTATATTGTATAATTCAGAACTTAGAGATAGGAAATAATATTTATTCACCTGTTTTAATTCTAATGGGTCCAGTTCTTATCCAAGGACCTAATTTATTATATAATTGAGAGCATAGAAATAAGAAAGAGTATTTATTCACCTGTTTTCATTCTAGTTCTCATCCATGAACCTGCAGTCCTCATTGAAGGGGTTTTGTTCCGGGCTCGCTATTTAGGCTCTACTCAGCTAGTCTGTGAAGGCCAACCCACTAAAGCTACACGTATGATGCAGGCTGAGGAAGCTGTGTCAAGAATCAAAGTAATTAATACAGATTTTGAACTGTTTACTTTATGCAAAATTTTCATAATTAATCTTGAACACTTGCACATATATTTAATACTTCCTCAATACTCTGTATATATATATTTTTTTTCTAGGTTATGTGAACTTCAAACCTATATCTATACAAATTTTCCACGGGTGTTAGTTAAACGCATAGCCTAAGTACCAGCTTATGTATTTTCTCAGTAACAAATTTCTTCATGCAAAATCTTTAAAATGTATGTAAATACTGTACATATATTTCATTTCTATTGTTCTAGCTATTTCTCTTGCTTATACTACAGATTCCGTTTACTATTGTTCTAGCTATTTCTCTTGCTTATACTACAGATTCCATTTACTATTGTTCTAGCTATTTCTCTTCCTTATATTATATATTCCATTCACTATTGTTCTGACTATTTCTCTTCCTTATACTACAGATTCCATTTACTATTGTTCTGGCTATTTCTCTTCCTTATACTACAGATTCCATTTACTATTGTTCTAGCTATTTCTCTTCCTTATACTACAGATTCCATTTACTATTGTTCTAGCTATTTCTCTTCCTTATACTACAGATTCCATTTACTATTGTTCTAGCTATTTCTCTTGCTTATACCATATATTCCATTTACTATTGTTCTTGCTATTTCTCTTGCTCATACCATATATTCCATCTACTATTGTTCTTGCTATTTCTCTTGCTTATACTATATATTCCATTTACTATTGTTCTAGCTATTTCTTTTCCTTATACCATATATTCCATTTACTATTGTTCTAGCTATTTCTCTTGCTTATACTACAGATTCCATTTACTATTATTCTAGCTATTTCTCTTGCTTATCCTACAGATTCCATTTACTATTGTTCTAGCTATTTATCTTCCTTATACTTGAGTTGAAATATATTATCCTTCATTCTTTTTTCTTCCCTTCATGACATGTGCATCATTCACAACCTCATCTTTTTCTATAGATTCTGTGTCTACTACTTTTTACAGTCTTTACATAACTCATATTTCTGTGATGTGATACTGCATGTGTCTGAGTTTTAACTTGTCCAACACCTTTCATCTTTGTTACTATTTGTTAATATTGTCGATACTATTATTCTACCTTTGTTTGCTTGAGCAAGGGTTTATCTCCTGCTGTATGTTGTTTTCCATCTTTAAATATTACATCACTTCTGCAGGAATTTTTCTCTAATAGTTTGAGGACTCTCAAGATCTTGCTACTAGATCTGGGCAATTATTTTAATTTGCTAATTGATTTTTACATCATTGAAGCAAAACAAAGACAACACTTAATGTCAAAAATCAGGTTTTGATATGCGTGGTGGACATTATGTAGCTTTGTGCTTAGCAGCAAACAAACAATTCTCCATGTGGAAGCATATGCCTGCTTTAGTTCAAAACTACAAATGAGTTTGTCTATCACAGAATTAAGAATTAACATTTCCTCTTTTCATAAGTTTGTCTACTAGGGATCTTTTTCTTCTGCCCAGCTTCTTGCAAAATTTAAGTGTCATCAGTATAACCTGAATTTTTTGAGCTTTTATCTAACTTGCATCTTCTGAACACATTTATTTTTTTCATGTTGTCTTTCAGCATATGGGCCAAAGAGTCTAGACTGTGGAGAATTTCTTTCACTTAAGTCTTTCTTCAGTATTATTTTTTATTTTCCATATTGTTTCTTTTTAGCAACAATCTTCTGGTGCACTTTTTTCTCAACATTTCTTTGATTATCCTCCTGCGTTTGTTTTGCAGAGTTACAGTTTGATCTATAAAAAATAATTTGAAATAACACTAATGGTTTAACAACCATAAAGCAGCATGTGTGGTTCACTGACATAGAACAGTTTGTAATTCGACATAGTATTTCGTATATTGTTGTGTATAGAGTACTATGTTGTCATCAAATACATTACCTATAGTATAACTTTTTTTTTTCTCTTTTGATAGCTTTATGACTCTCATGCTTTTTACATGATTCAAATCTCTCATTTGGTCTATTCAGATGGACCAAGCTCGCTTTTATGTTTGCATGCTCAGAAATAGGGTTAGATTAATAACTGGTGCTTTAGCAGAAGTACCATATAATATCTTAGCATTGGCTCCACATATTTTCAGACCTATAGGAGGAAGATTTGATCAGTGCATTATTAGTTGTTTTTCTTTTACTTTGAATCCTTATGAATTGTGACATTTACTGGTTAATTCAGGATCCACTTCACTTTGCTCAGTCTTATCAATTTCTATTTCTTCTTCATCAAGTGATATAGGCATTTTTAATCAGTAAATTATTTCTCTATCTTTAATGCAAACAAGCAAATATTTTGTGTTTTTATTCAAGGTTTTATTCTCAGTTGATCCTGGTACTCTGAACAAACTGTACTTATCTCGTGTCTTTCATTAGTTTTTTTCACTTTTTTAAATAAAAAATTCTCCTTTTATTGCATTCCTTCCAGTTTGATCATTTATGACAAATACAAGTGATGTTGACACCTATGTTCTTGTTTCTGTTTACTCTTTATATCACTGCTTCCTACATTCTGTTCACATGAGTTAAGGTTCTTAGTCTACTGCATTTTTTGAAAAACATTTCAGGTTTTGTCATGTTAACCATAATTACCAAACTGTAGTTACCTTGTTTTTTCAGATCATTGTATTTTTATTTCATTTCATGAGCAGTTGGCTACTCCTGACTGTTTTTTAATAGTAATCTTTGCTGTTTATTCAGTAAATGTTAGCTCTAATCATGGAGATGAGTTATATTTTAAGCCTAATCTTCATTCCGTGCAGTTTTTCATTCACCTCAGAGTATTATTTGATTCCTTTATTTAGTTTGTTGCAGATTCCCCCAAATAAATTGGTTTATTTTGAATCATTTCTGTGAAAATTTCTTCAAAATCCATCCTTATATGTTTATTGAATTTTAAATTATTTCTTTCATTTGACATTTATGTAGAGCTCTTGAGTATATGTCTGCTCAAAACATTTCCAATTTATTGGTTATACACACATAACACTGCTCTTTGTGTTTCTCCTATATCTTTCAGTGGGGGCTTTTGTATGATCAGAAAGTTTAAAATGTGTAATATTCTGCACTAATGCTTGCTAATGAAAAATTTAGCTCTAAATGCCTGCCATGGGTGGTTTGAAACTTGTTGGAACTGTTGTTGTGATTCATTATTATAATATCACTAAAGTGACTTATTTTAATATACAACAGGCACCATTGATAAAAACTGTGACATTTATTTGAACTAGAGATCATTTTATATGCTGAAGAACTTGTCATGTCCTGGAGTTTGTCTCCTTGCCAGCTAACTTTCTTGACAAGGCCAGATTTTTCCTAGCACACAGTCTGTATTGCGGCTATGTTTGGTTATTCTGTTTAAAATAATTTTGTAGCATAACATTTCTTGATTGTTACACTTGTATAATATATAGATATAGGGTTGCAAATTTAGAAACATCCACATTGTATCTTTCTACCATTTAAGAAAGTTTATCAACTTATAGTCATTAGTCATTGTGCACTAACTAACACCAAACTTCTTGCTTGTGTACATTTATTCACTATAAGACAAGCAATATTATTTACAAAGACTTACTTAAGAACATGTTACAAAATGCTGCATCTAGTCTATATGCTATATTGCTGCATTTTCAAATTTCTTATTTTTCACCAACACATGAAAGCATGAAGACTAGTGGCTAACCACTTTGTTTCAGAATATTTCAGGATTATTATTTTTTAATGTACTGAAAGATTAAGTTAACAGTACACATGTTCACACTGAAGCTCAAGCACTATCTGCTGTTCATTACTATCTCACAAAAAACTTATTTATGATTCTATTTAATTCTCTGGACTAATGTAGTCTTTTTATTCCTATACTGCTGACATGGCTCTGTTTTTCTAGTCCCTGGTAAGTGTAAATTTATTATAGATAATAATTATATACAAGTAACTACAAAAATGAAGTCTAATTTAATAGTTAAAGGTTTCTTGCATGTTTCAGAATGGCTTTTAGTTTAAAAGTAGAAATAAGGAATAATTAGAGAAAATTGGCTCAATATGTTACCCTTTAATAAGAATTTAAAAAAATTATTTCATGTTTAGTATTATTATTGTTGTTTTATGTGTTAAGAAACAATACATCTCATTCAGGTGTTGGAGTTTACATATAGCATTCAATAACCTTTTTCTCTTGCATAGCTGAAAATATTTATATTTTACAGTTCCACATAATTACATTTTTGTCTATCAAAATCAAGTGTGCCAACTTACATTCATTACAAGCTAGAGTTCTTCTTTCAAAATTCGATTTTTTTTAGGACAGTCTCTGACTACATTTGTATATAGTAGGCTTTTACTTGGCTCTTTTAGGAATAATAGTTAACTTGCAGAATTTTTGAAGAAATAAAACCTGATGATAAATTGCAGACATTTCTAAATTTTTGATGATAAACATTTTGCATTATATCAGGACTTCTCTTAGGGCTCATTTGGATCCAAATTATGGAGCCTTAATAGTGATTAAAATTTTTCAAAGTGTAATATTCTACTATATAAGCTTTATAGTTTTAGAAATATAATAGGAAAGGACTGAGTATTATTCCTTCATCACAAATCTTGAGAAACAGAATTATCCGTATAATAAAGTTAAACAACAGTGTACAGAGTAATAAGCATCTGTGGCTTTTCCAAATGATTGGAATTGCTTGCAGGTGAATAAATCATACAAAAAAAGGATAAAACATGGGGCTGTATAATGAGATAATTAATATAACCAAGATAGATTCTCAGTTTTAATAGCTAGTGTTGGCTTCATGTATTCCAACATTGAATAACAGGTTACATACAACTGGTGCATTACTTGTAATATCATAAACAGTAGTAGTAGCTTTTATTGTAAATTCACTCAGTATGTAGGCTTAACATTAATTGCACAGTATGCATGTAATCTAGTAACCTATTTACTTCAAGAGCCTTCCAAATAATTAGTTCTAAATGTTGTTTTTAGAAGAATTGTTTGTTTGACAGCCTTCAAACCTCATGCCAATTTTCACCTTTGACTTGCCCATGGCTCACTCACATGCCTGTTTGCCCCTCAGTGGCATAGCGGTATGTCTGCAGACTTGTAATACTAGAAACCAGGTATCAATACCCATGTAACTTTGTGCTTAATTACAAACAAATGAACACATGCCTGTTTCATTGGCAGAATTATTTCAGTGAGAAGTAGGTACTTAACACATGTGACCTAGGCAGGCAAAGCTCGTAATTGTTATAAATGTGCATGAGTAACAGATAGAGGCAATTGTTTTTCTAAAATTTAAAAATTATCATCTTGAATGAATTATTCAGCCATCTTGGATGATAGAACAAACAAAGTCAGGTCTATTTTGATTAATGTGGTATCATCTTCATAATAAGAAAATGTCATTTAAACAGTAATTGTATTGAGTATTAAACAAAGACTGCATCAGTTACTACGTAAGTTACCAGTAGTAGTGATTACTAAACAAAGACTACATCAGTTACTACTTGAGTTACCAGTAGTAGTGGTTATTAAACAAAGACTACATCAGTTACTACTTGAGTTATCAGTAGTAGTGGTTATTAAACAAAGACTACATCAGTTACTACTTGAGTTACCAGTAGTAGTGATTATAAAACACAGACTACATCAGTTACTACTTGAGTTATCAGTAGTAGTGGTTATTAAACAAAGACTACATCAGTTACTACTTGAGTTACCAGTAGTAGTGATTATTAAACAAAGACTACATCAGTTACTACTTGAGTTAACAGCAGTAGTGATTACTAAACAGAGACTACATCAGTTACTACTTGAGTTACCAGCATTAGTGATTATTAAACAAAGACTACATCAGTTACTACTTGAGTTACCAGTT